CAAATACGAGCTTGTGCAAATGATGCTGGTGCTAGAATAATGAGAGTTTCGTGGATTATAATGTAAAATTTGGGTGCTCAAATGATGTTTCATATCAATACTCTAGTCAGTTTTCATGTAATTGCTTTTTTAATGGAACAGAATCCGTAATAAGGGTGCCGGCTCAGTAATTTGTATTAGCAATAGAAAAAACTATTTTAACACTGCCAAGGATAAAGGTCTATCATCGAATCTATCCATTTTTACTTGAAAAATCGGTGGATATTGTTAACTTTCATAGGATTCGACAGAAAAATCTCAATCTGGGACTTTTTAAGTGCGTGAGTAGGATTATACAATAGTTTTATGTAAATGTTGATAAAAAAACATAAGCATCACAGCGTTTGTACTTTTTTGATTCGTTAAGAATATCATGACGTTGTGCTTATTTTTCTTGCCTTACGAATATAGAGCCTTTCTATTAGCATTATTATGTTGTCTTGGACGTTTTTTGACGAACAATTATTGAGATTCATCTGAAAATAGGTGTAAAATATTTCCAGGATAATGATCACATTCACTATAAGTGTTAAAGATGCTAACGTATATCGTCGCTTTATACAGTTTATAGTCGTAAATAGCCGTAGATTGACATTTGATAGATGCAGTATAACGACCATATATTATCGCTCTGTGCACAGTTAAGAATGACCGTAAAACCATTTAAAAATCGAGTATTCGGTCGCTTATTACACAGCGACATATTATGGCAGTATTACGCCTACCGAACGGTAAAACATTTTCCGAAATGGTTGTTTACTACCTTGCTCGTATGACATGAACTTATTCATAGAGAAAGAATGATTAATTTTACTGCATATTTTTCTGTTATTTCTTTTTTCGAGTCCTTTATAATGGAGCCAATCTATCGATATTTCTTGCGGACCTATCATGGGGCCTGTTTTGAGCTACCGAAATCATAGTTTTTTTGCTATCGGGCTCACAAAAGATACAATGACAGAAGATGAGGCCTTTTTCTGTGGAGATAGATATTTGATTAAAGGTTCTCTTTCCGCATTATTTTCCTACTACTGGAGGAGAACATCTTAGAGAACTTTTTCAAAACTTTTGCTTAACAAACTAGATTTTAAATAATGTTTTAAATTGACTATCTTTCTTCTTAGAATTTGGATCGTATGAAACTGAATAAAACTGACTTCGGTTTAGAATTTTTCAATTTCATTTTGGTGAATGATTTCTTTCATTTCGACTTTGATTATAACATATGTTTCATCATTTCAAGTGACATTGAATAAGAAGAAAGAAACTACCATTTTTTTCAAATTCGATCCAGTATTTACAATAAAAAGTAAGAGAATAGCCGTTTTTAGTAGCGGAAGGCTTGATCTCTATTTTCTTTTACACTGAATAAATATCACAACTTCGAATACAACCACTTTTTAGTAGAGCCAGCGATGCGTTCGAAGAACTCGGTTCTTCTAATCTGCCTTATCAACCACAAACTACAATAATGATCTTCTATTACATTTTTAAAAAAAAATATTTTCTTGCTACTCTTAGCTATGTAGTTTTTATAAATCTTTTAACGTTCTTTATGTTGTTTTTAAAGAAGTATTGAACTTTTTGACAGTATTACAATCAAGTAAAGTTGATACTATGTTAAAAGAATATTTCATAAAACTTGCATTTTAATTATTAAATGTAAAGAGTTACATAAAATATGATTAATTAACACTTAAGTATGGGAGTATTTTTGTTATAAGTTGATGAATCCTTTAATATTTGCTTTCAGAGAGATTAGAAAACGGTTTCTGATCACTTAGAAAATGGTAGAAAAGAGTTTGTTATACGTTGCACTTTCATAAACGTTTTAAAGGCTTATTATTGTGTGTTTTTTACAGTGTTCCCTGACACTTCGCTTGTAGTCCTGTCGTACTCACCTTGTACTTCAAAAAATTTGAACGTAGATGAAGACTGACTTTTTCTCCCTTGGACGCAACCAATGCAAGTCTACTAAATCCACCATTGTTATATGCATTTTAAAAACATCTACAACTATACCTAGATGTTTTATCATTTGAAAATTACATACGGAACTGTTAAGACTCATCTGTTTTGTAATTAATATTTACATGAACCCTACTGATCATCAAAACTCAATTTATCAGGATAACAAGAAACTGATGATGAGTGTTTATAACTATGTTATTGAGACTTAGCAATATGACACTTGACATTATTACAAACTATCGCCTTCCCAACTAACTCTAGATGTATCGGATTTAAAGATAAAACAGTAAATATTCGAATAAGAATCAAGATTCATTTCTAATTTATAAGTCTCTTAATAAAACCTAGGTCATAATAGCAAATCTAAGAATACTATCAGATCGCAAAAACGAGTTTTTGTTTCTTCAATATATTATTCGATATTTTGTTGTATTAAAAGTCATCTACTCATCATATATTAACTTAACAAAAAGAATGTTCTCTGGAAGATTATATGAATATAATCCAAGACATAAGACATTAGTAAACTCTGAGTACCAGATGACTATCAGACTTTCGATATTTACAGTATTTTGCAGATAAATACTTGTAGTAAAAACAATTCATGCTTTTGTAAAACATATGTACTTCGCGTAAGATATCCATCAACAAAATTCTAGATGATACGAAAAACCTACCTCGGTTTTTAATATTTGTTTGTTGGCAAAATACAAAATCTTGCATCTCTTTCATTTCACTTGATAAAATAATACTAAGTCGTGATATAGTTGTTGAACATGCATCTTCGGGGTTTTCCATGGAGGTTGATGAAAAGATTTGTTCACAAAGATATGTAAATCTTTGAGTTAAGGTTAAAGTTGTTCTTTCATCAAATAAATCACTTGAACAAACAAAAGAACAAGATAATCGATTATCATTTGATGATGGATTGTATATAAAGTTCAATGAGAAGTCAAATTGAGCCATAACATATGATTCATTTAACGACACTTTTTGTAAGTCGACACCATTCAAACATAAATCATTAACTTCTTTTGATACAGTAATAAAATCAAACATTGTTTCAAGCAATGATACATTCGATTGAGTGAGATGGAAATCACTAAGAATATGTTGTAATGGATAATGAGAATGTTGAAGAGTTAATAAACATTTTTCTTGTACATATTTAACTACTTCATCAAATGACCATTGAGAATCAAGTTCAACACGATATGGTAATGTTGATACAAACATTCCTATCATATTCACTAATTCACTTCGATATCGATTTGCATTGATAGAAGATATACATAAATCACTCTCACCATGCGTTAATTTGAATAGGAAGACATAAAATACAGATAATCCAAGTTGAAAGAGTGTGAGATAATGTGATGATGCATAGTTTAGAAATGATGTGCATATTTCATCATCAAAAGTGAGTTGAGCTGAAGAAGCTAAACCTGATCGTTGATCAGTTAATAAACGTTGTCGATCAACGGGTAATGATAATTGGCCTGTGAGATTATATCCTTTGAGTTCTAATAACCAAAATTCTTGAGACGATGTCATATCCATTATGTGTTCATGAATAGAATAGTCAATATATTGTAATGAATTGTCATCTATAGGAAGCAACTCATTAGATTGATAAGCAAGAGAAAGATCACGAATGAAGATTGATACTGATGCTCCATCAAAACAAGCATGATGAATAGTAAATAATATTAAATCATCTTTGATCATTAGATCATCACTACTCTGAGTGAGTGAATGATTTGATTGATCACGACGAAGAATATGGCAATTAATAACATGTCCCATTGATAAATCAAATAAATTTGATTGATTTAAAATCTTCTTTACAATTTCATTCTGTTCATGTTTTTCATCAGGAAGAGTAATCATCGAAAATCTAGATGATTTCTTATCATTGATAATAGCATTTGTATCTAAACAACCTTGTATAATAGTAGCACTTGTGTCAAGATAGAGTGCTGTTCGAAGAATTTCATGTTTTGTAATGATAGATTGAAATGCATGTTGTAATCGTGAAATAGATATATGATCATTGATAGATGCAATCTGATAAACCAATGGAATAACATACATATTGTTAGTGTTATTATTTGTCGATGAGAAACGAATTCGTTCATCTAAGAATATACGTTCTTGTGCAAACGATGCTTTAGCTACAAAAGAGAAATAGAATATAGTTAATGAAATATTCTTAAACATTCTTTGTTACCTTTCATGATATGTAATGAAGACCAATGATAGTCATTGTTACTCTCTGTCGTATTCTTAGTTTGATAAATGAGTTGAGCATGACCAACAATTGTAGGATGTTGAAAAAGATCAGAAATGGAAAGAGCATTTAGATTTTGTCCTAAATGAAATTCAATCTTGTATCGATGAAAAAGTTGCATCATCAGTAGTGAATGACCACCAATAGTAAATATATTTGTATCAGTTGAGATTTGATTTTGTTTGAATATGTCACACCAAATATGATAAATACTAATTTCAATATGGTTTGTTGGTAGTAATAATTTATCATGATTTGTGAGATGTATTGGTGAAAAACTAGGTGGAGGAAGAAGTTTTCGGTCTATTTTACCATTTGCATTCAATGGTAATTTATCAAGTATAACAAAGAGAGATGGAATCATATGTGGTGGAAGATGAGATTGAGAATGTTGACGTAGTTCTTCTTCATTCACATCAGAAGATTGAACATAAGCAACTAAATAATCATCATTCCATTTCATAACAACACAAGCAGAGATGGATGTAATGTTAAGTAAACATCGTTCGATTTCACCAAGTTCAATTCTTTGTCCATGTAATTTGATTTGATGATCTTTTCTTCCTTGATAATGAAGAAGACCATTGTTATCCATTCTAACAAGATCACCTGTTCGATAAAATAGTTGACCATCAATTTCAACGAGAGCTTTTGCAGTTAAATCATCACCTCCAAGATAACCAGCAAACACACCCTCGCCACCTATAAGCAACTCGTCTTCTTCTCCGATCGCTCCGGGTTGCAATAAAATATCTAGAACCTTGTATTGTTCATTAACCAGAACACTACCAAGAGGAATGTTGTTCTCAATAGATACGGGGTCAATGCGATGACATATCGACACAATGGTACATTCAGCCGGTGCGTATATGTTGTGCATGTAAAACTCACTTTTAATATGACTTCTGAGGCGGTGAACGAGTTGTAGTGAAAATGGCTCACCTAGAAGATTAAGAGAAAGCTCTATTATCACTTTATTTTTGCTTTACTAACCACCAATGCAAAGTGATCGCACAGATGACAACGCATAGCGATTGGAATGTGCAAGAAAATCACATAAATGATTTAAGAAAGTTGGAACAGGTGCAAGACATGTAATCTGTTTATGTTGCAGTGTGTGAGCAAAATATTCAAAATCCATATTGCCATATGGATGTAACATTACAACAGTCGCGCACAGAAGTAAACTACCCATGATTTCCATGACATGTACATCATATGTCGGTGCACATATTTGAGACACTGTGTCTTGCTCGTTTATTACACCAGCATTTTGTATAGAATGCACGAAATTTGTGAAGTTCCGATGCCTGGTCTGAGCCTATAACATAGCGAAAAACAGGAAAAGACACTTTAGAAAATGCAGAAAACATACTGCTTTAGGTGTACCAGTTGACCCACTAGTGAAAATAATGTAAGCTATATCTTCACCTTTCACTATCACACTTGAAAGGCAACCATTATTCCTATCAATATTCATATAATTAATATTTAATATTGAATCAATATCCTGTGAGACAATATCATGACCGAATTTGATCCTTGTTAAATGATGGACAAGAACAAGACGACTTTGTGTTTGTTGTGTGAGTGCATACAAACGATGTTGTGGATCCCGCGGTGACAATGGACAATAAACACCACCAGCCATTTCGATTCCCATTATACCAATCACCTAATCGAAATCAACTCCAATGTCCTATCAATAGTTATTTCTCTTATTCAACTTACCATTGACACACTTCGCTCGACACATTGACAAATTATTTCACCTGGAGCAATAAAACATTCATTAAGAAGAGTTAAAGATAGTATTTGTACATAATATAGAAGTTCACAATATGTTAACGATTGTTCATCTAGTTCAACTGCTAGTTTTTGTGGATGTCTCATTACTTGGTATACAAACTCGTGATGAATACAAGTGAGAGAAGATGGAAATGATACTTGTGTATTATTCAATGATTGCATTAGTAATCTTTCATCTAGTAATGTTAATGATAATTCATAGATAGGTTTGCTTATTTGACTGTTGATAATGGATGTAGATAATTGATGTAAGATGAAATGAAATCGTTGTGAAATCTTCTCCACTGTCTCTTTATTGAACAAGTCAAGAGATGCATTGATTGTACATGACAGTTGACTCATGTTCAAATCATGATAGATAGAAAGTGAGAAATCGGACATACTTAATATCTCATCTTCATTAATATTGAATGAGAAAGATCCTGGAACAAGTTGAGAATCACCAATGACGATTGATTTGCTGCTCATGTATGATATAAACTCCAGAGATGTATCGAGAAATGCATGTTTAGAAATATGTGGATGTTGGTTGAGAATATGCTGAAGTGG